CTATTTTCTCACCTGGCAGTGGAAAAAGCTGTCAAAAGATCTCATGGAATTGCCTTATCTAGAGACAGCTGCAGTTAAACTATCCTCATCTGAGATGCTATAGGTACCATATAAAACATTCCTAACCCAATGCAAGGGGGAGAGGTGTCTTACACCCCTGGGCTTGGATAGTGCAAGAGCCTCATAACATCTGATTTCTAATGGGCCAAATGGATGTGACTCCATTGTCTGCAGTGGAATTTTACTTGCTTACACCATCATTGAGATTACCCATTTACTGCTGATATTTTCCAGGCCACCTCCCTACCAGTAATACGCATAAACCACAAAACCCATCTCTGGATCCAGATTGCAGATTGCTGGAAGTGCTTGGTTCTGGGGATTTGGATAGACCCATTATAGAGATAGAGCAGAGCTGTGAAATTTGGATCCAGATCTTGCCTCAGATTCCAAACTCCATTTCCCATCTGGTTTCTCCATGAATTTGGAGGTGAATGGATATGGAATGAGAACTTGGCTGGCTCTCGTGCTGGTTAAACATGGTTGTGGCTAGCAGGATTCCAGCAGGGTTTCCTTAGTCAACTGGACAGAGAATCGTGCTGCTCAAAACTGGTCATAATCACTTCTCCTCTTAATCAATAATGCAGTTTTCATAGCCTTGTTCAAGATCTGACCACACTCATCAGACAACTGTACCAGGGTCCTGGTAATGAAATCTGTTTATAAAGTCGCATGGCAGCAATTGTGATGGCAGCGCTATAAGTACACTTTGTATTCACACCCAAAAATCAACCCAAAGAGTTTCCCCTTTGAGAGCAGGCAGGGCCCTACCACTCACATTCATTAGAGCATGTGCTGTATAATACGACACAACACTGCTTGACTCTAGTCCTGTCTGACTGGCCATGATTTCTTTCCTTAGTGGGCAAACACTGCAGAGCCCAATCCTTAGGTGGTGTCATTCAGTAAAGCTCCATTGAAGTCAATGAGGTGCTATCAATTTACACCTGCTGAGGATCTAGCCCTGGGAGTGTACATTTAGGGTACGTCTACATAGCAGGGCTAAAGTTGAATTAAGCTACATAATTTGAGCTACGTCACTTGCGTAGCTTAAATCAAAATAGCTTAACTTGGCTTTTGGCACTGTCTGCACTGCAGGAAGTCGAAGGAAGAACACTCTTCCACTGACTTTCCTTACTCCTCATGAAATGAGGATTACAGGAGTCGGAGTAAGAAGTCCTCTAGCTCACCATTATTTCAAAATAAAGGCTTGTAATGTAGACACTCGCTATGTTATTTGGGAATAACATGAGTTATTCCTAAATAACACTGTTGTGTAGACATACCCTTAGGCTATGTCTACACTGGCATGAACTTGCACCAGAGCTATGCAAATGAAGCTCGGCGATATTCCACGCTTAGCTTCATTTGCATATTTAATGAGCCGCCATTTTGCGGAAGAGGCTCTTGCACAAGAAGGAGCTGTCTACACTGCCCCTTCTTGCGCAAGAAAAACCCTCTTGTGCAATGCTGTTATGCTGATTATTTTCAGGCATAACGGCATTGCGCAAGAGGGTTTTTCTTGTGCAAGAAGGGGCAGTGTAGACAGCTCCTTCTTGCTCCAGAGACTCTTCCACAAAAATGGTGGCTCATTAGATATGCAAATGAGACTCAGTGATATTCCACGCTTACCTCATTTGTATAGCTCTGGCGCAAGATCGCGCCAGTGTAGACAAAGCCTTAGAGACAGAGCTGGTGCAGCTAGGGAAGGGTGCTCCAATATTACAGAGATACCTAGCATGTCTATAACATATTTAACCAACAGCTCTTCAGGAGCTTGGTCCCATTATCCCCATTTTACAGGTGGAGAAACCGAGGCACAGAGTGAGAAGTAGCTTGCCCAAGGTCACCCAGCAGGCCAGTGCCAGAACTGGGAACAGAATGCTGTCTTTCTGGGTCCCAGTTCACTAGGCTGTATAAACTGAAGCTGGAATGGAGTAAATGCAAATTATACAATAGCTGCCATTATTAGCAAATTGAGGGCCCATTTTTAGAACTTCCCACTGAAATCAAATAGTGAATCTGTTTAAAAATCAATGGCACAATTTGTCCCTGGCTATGAAACTCCGAGGATCGCTGTACTTGTCAGGACATTGTTACTGCCAACGATGATGCCTCAGGGTTTTTTTGTTTCTGTTTTTGTTTTTATTTTGTGCTTCCTAGGAAGGCCAGATTTACTGCGGCTTGGTGACCTGCCCTGATCTGTTGTGCTCCTCCCCTCTAAATGTGCCAGACTCCTGCTGCCAAGTCTGCCAAGGTAATATGGGACCCCATCCCTGGTGCTCAGTAAGGTCTGCTGGGAGGTCAGTGGATGGGAATCACTGCCCTGGCCATCAGACAGGCAGAGGAATATTGAGCTTATTAAATGTGACTTTGAAAATCCCTGCTGTAAATTGCCTACAACACTGTCTCACCCACAATGGCAAGAGAATCTGAAGCATAAAAAGCCACGTAGGACAAATTCTTTTCTATTCTCCCCGCCCTGTATTTGTGTGGCATGTAAGTAGGGATGTTAAATACCAGTTAATTGATTAATTAGTTAACCTCATGAATTCTTATTGGTTAGTCGACTATTCTCTAGACCTGGGGGCAGGGCTAGCAGCCAGTGTGCTCTGGCATCACTCTCGAAGAGCCCTCTGCCACTCCGTGCAGTGCAGGGTGCCAGGCGGGAGCTGATCCACAAGGGGAGCCAGTTTAAAAACTAGCTCCCCTCACGGACCAGCTGCCTGTTGCCCCATGCTGCTGCCTCTGATAAAGAGGAAGCAGCGCGGAGAGGCAGTAGCCCCTGTCTAGGGGAAGGCTGAGATCACAGACCCAGCATGACTTGGAACTGAGCCAAGCTGCCTGCCCGCCCGGCTCCTAATACACTTTTAATGCAGAGCTGCAGCTGGGGTAGGTCCCAAGCCCAGTGTGAGCCAGGACTGAGCAGGGCTGCTGGCCAGCCTGCTAGAAAATGTACTGGCAAGGGGGGGGGAGGGAAACGCACGTAGTCTATGGCATTAAACGATACGCTTTTGCTTATCAGTCAATTGGTAAATCGACTACACTATTACTTCCCTCAAAGAACTAGGATCGGTGTTTCAGCCCAAGCCGTACTCCTTGTTTTATGGGCGCTGTTCCATTGTATTAGTGACATGAAAGCCACAAGGACAGTTAGTCTGAAGTTCATTTGTCAGGCTTGAGAGAGGCTGCTTTGAAGGTGGAAGTAAGTCTGTCTATGGCTGTTCTTGTCATTTCTCTGATTAACTGGGGAAAAGGCCGCAGTGGCACAGCCAGTCTTAGGGAAGGACACTCTGACGTAACTAAGAACCTTAACAGCGTTTTGTGCTCGATTCACCTCTGTCTCGATTCTCCATGGTGCACCTCTACTGGGTGAGTGGGAAGATAATCAAACCTTGTATTTACTGTATATGTAAAATTCAGAGCAAGGAATCAGGCCAGCAGTTTCACATCATGCTGTTGGCCTTTTCCTAAAATGCTAAATCATTACAGGCCCACATTTTGCTCTATCACACCAGGGTAAATGTGGAGTCAGTGGAGTTGCTCCATATTTACAGCAGCCCAACTGAGGCCACATCACCACTTGCGGGAAAATTGACGCTGCGGCAGTCAACGTTCCAGCGTTCAATTTAATGCAGTGTTTCTTAAACTCTGTTCCGCGGCAGAGGCAGTCAGTGGTGTGCCGCAGAGAACAACAGAATTCAAAATGGCCACTCTTAAAGAGGAAGGCAACCTTTTTTCTTTTTGCTCAATAAAAAATCCTTGGTGTTCCCCATAAAAAAATATTGTTTGGCTTTCCTCATTCTTGAAAAGTTTAAGAAACACTCGTCTAAGCCAAGGCAGATTTACTGTATCAACCAGAAGAAGTTAGGTCCAAAATGCCAGATATGGCAGCAATGCAAACTGCGGCATTGCCAACTCTTACGATTTTTTTATTGGTGGTTTAATTAAAGTCTCAGCTTGCAGAGACAAGTGATCATAAAGAATTTCTGTTTGTTTATTTTTTGAAGAAAGTTTTTCGCTCTCAGGATGCCCCTGGCAGTACTGGCAGTCCTACTCCTTGCAAGGAGTAAGGGAAGTTGATGGGAGCATTTCTCCAATTGACTTCCCACTGTGAGGATGGCACCAGAGCTCAGCTTATGGTACATCAACTCAGCTATGTTCTTTCCATAGCTGGAATTGTGTACCTCAGCCAACCTTCCCCTGTAGTGTGGACTTGGCCTGAGAGCTGAAGCTAGCAGCCACCAGCAGTGGGCATGAGACAAGTAGGGTTTGAGACAAAGAGTGCCACTGCCCCCATTTCAGCTGTAATCATCGGGGTTCCTCGGCACCCCAAACTCTTAAAGAGCCAGTAGCGTGCCCAGTAGAGCATGTCTTGGAAGCAAGCGCTGTAGGTGCTTCAGCTTGGCCATGTAGGCACAAGCACTGGAGATCCCTCCCCTACCCACTCAGATACCCGGCTCAGGGAAAGGTTTTGGGTGGATGGGGCTGGCAGGGAGAAGGTTGTAAGTCCCTGGGAGCAGAGGTTTAATGTTACCGTCCCAAGTGAGCAATAATGGCTCCTGTCTGGGTCCCTGGGCTGTCCAATTGAATGAGGGCCTGGGTTCTTCAGCCTCGTGCGCGGGGAACCCTCTCCTATCCAGTCTCTGTTCGAGCATTTGTGGGTTTCTAAGCCAGGCTCTGTTACTGTCTCTCGCTGGGACCCCTTTCAGCTCCCTCTCCAGCTGCTTCTGCTCCCCAGTGGTGGCCCGTCAATACAGGCGACTTAGGCGGTCGCCGAGGACGCCAAGATAAACTGTTGTTGAGGGCTTTGGAGGCGGGGGTGCCGATCGCGCACCAATCGCGAGTTTCGCCTAGGGTGCCAGTTGCCGGCGGCTCGTCTAGGGCCACTCCTGCTGCTCCCCCATCAGCCCCAGCCAGACCTGCTTCAGCCATGATGTCTGGCAGCCACAGCCTGTTCCATATGTGACTTTGTCCACAGTTCCTGGAGTCTCTCTCCAGCACCCTGTTACCATGCAGCTTCCACTCCCAGCCACTAAGGGTCTGTCTGCTTCCTGCTACAGGATCTTTCCTGTCCCTGTCCAGGGGAAGGGCCAGTGCTATGGGCGGGGGGCTAATGGGAACAAAAAGCAAGCCAGCAAAAAGGGGATGTATCATGGGAGGGGGCTGCAGTGCCCTGCTTTGCAGATCCGTCACACAGGCTTTGCTGCGCTCCTGTGATGTTTCCACTAAAGTGACTGTATTTGTAGAATGTTCTCTTCAAACAGGCCTCTGACAATCATACAAATCATAATAATTTGATAATGTCTAATGGTAGAGGCTGGCCACGCTATTCTGTTGCTCAAAGTGTACTTGATCCTTGGTCGACGCTTCATGAAAAACTCATTCAACGCCTTTTTTTTTTTTTAATTTCAAATCCCATTCATCACATTGCTTACTCGTTCCAATGAACTGTTTGTTCCTTGTAAACACCCAGCTAAGTTTTCTCACTATAGCAATATGTTTGGAATCGTCTTTATAGCTAGAAAGAAAAAAACGCAACAAGTTTGGATTGATGAAAGAGACAGAACCAGGACATTTCAGGAATTCTTGGGATGTGGTGACACAAGGACTGTCCCCATATAACTAGACTATATGGGGACTTTAGTGGCAACTAATATATCATCCTATTGATGCTCACATTGTATCTGTGCCCTGTGGCCTCCTTTAGTGATTAGATCTTGTGGTTTTTTTAGGGAGCATCTGACATCAGAAGCCATGTACTCACTGAAAGTAATTCTCATCTTAACCTCCTAAGTTTCCGGTTGTCCCTTTGTGTTTTACAGATGGTTCCTATGAGAAGTCCGTGGAAGAGGAGCCCCTGCAGTTAAACAGAGGTGTTGTACGTGATGTTTACATTTTCATAATCAGCCTGTCCCTTCTAAAATAAACCACATTGCCAGTTTCATGGAAATTCATGTCCCTGCAACATTTGCCCTGGCAGCCATTCATCTACCAAAAACCAAACCAACCCCAAACAATTACAACACATAAAGATGTTGGATGGAGATGGATCCTGAAAAGGGAGATGGTTTTGAGACTCCATGAAATCTGCTAGAGACTCTATTAGGCTATTTATTTTACATGGAAGTTGCTTGGCTACTGTGGAGAGGGGCGACAGGATACAGCCTGGAACAAACAGTGGCCTTCACACTTCAGACGTGGCTGAAAGCTCTTCTTGAATGCAAATAAAAAGCCCCAACTCGAACTACCTGTTAAACCTCATTCCAGGAGGAATAACAGGTAATTCGAACTAGGGCTTTATTTTGAACTACCGGGTCCCTGCCGCGTGTAGACGTGGGCAGTTAGTCTGGACTTGTAAATTTTAAAAATGGCGACCGGCCAGAAAGATGCAAATCAAGCGCGGGATATTTAAATCCCGGGCTTGATTTGCAACTTTGAATGCCTACATTAGCCTCCCTAGTTCAAACTAGGGGGCTAGTGTAGACATATCCTGTTATATTTTCAGTACCAAAGTAGGAGCAGAGAGAGGTGTGTGGTTGCACACTTGGTCCATAGGCAGACGTGAGGCCAGATCTCCTGACTCCCCAGTTCGCCTTGTCTACACGTGTGCCTCCCACTGGTGCTGCCCCTGGAGGAGTGGCACTCATTATCTGGTGGCTTAAATCTAGTGGCACTGGGAGCCTTGTCTACACGTGTGCCTCCCACTGGTGCTGCCCCTGGAGGAGTGGCACTGGGATTTAGCTACAGAGAAGAGCCAGGGTGAGCACAGCCTTGGTCTGGTGCAGCGGTAGCAAGTGTTCTTGCTCAGAAGATTGGTTTCTCCCTTTTCCCTCTTCCAAAGGTAGCCCATTCCTCCCAGAGCCCCTCTCGAGCAGCAGCCAGCATCTGAACTGGCTAGAAGCATTTTTTCTGACCACCTCACTCTATCCACGCTATTGGGAAGCAACAAGTGAGCTCCTGACCCTGCTAGGTTGACTTATTGCTACATTCGGGGTTGACTGCCCAATGCCAGCTTTGTGGGACGAGGTCACCGAGGGTGCATCTACACCACACCGTAGGTCGAAATAAGATAGGCAATTTGAGCTACGCGGGTTGTGTTGCTTATTTCGTCCTTATTCTGAAATAGCTTATTTCAAAATTTGGCGCTGTCTACACAGCACTTATTCTGAAATAAAGCGCTATTCCAAAACTTCCCTTACTCCTGGTGGAATGAAGTTTACAGGGACGTTGGAATAGCGCGCACGTTAGATTTCAAAATAACGGGCGCACTCAAAACATGTGCAGGACTAGCTATTTTGGGATACCGGAGGTGTAGTGTAGATGTAGCCTGCCAGTGTCTTATCCTTACTCTTTACAAAGCCTTGTGGACACAATGCCAGGACCACTCTCCAAAGATGATACTCCAGAAATAGCCACCAGGAGACCCTGTGGACTATCTGTCAGGTCTAATGCCAGGAGCCAGGCATTCCCATGCACTGCAGGAACTCCAGTCTCGAGAGTGTAGCCCTTCCTGCTGGCCCACAGCATACATTAACCGTGGGGATGGGGTGGGAGCTGTCCTGCTGCAAACATAGGTGGTCCCGGGACTCCGTTCAAGACAGGCATGTCTAATGTCAGACATGGTATCTGACATGACATATGTCCTTTGGGAGTGGGACCGAATGGCAGGAATTGAGGAAGGGTAGCAAACTTCTACTCTACCAATATTGTGAGTGTTACAGTAGCACCTTGCGGACCCACCTGAAATCAGGGCTTCATTGTGCAGAGTGCTGCACACACATAGCCCCCACCCCAGTGGCCCAGCCATCAAGCAGACAAGACAGAAGGGGAAACGGAGGCACACAGCAGTGACATGACTTGCTCCAAGTCACCCAGAAGCAGAGGCAGGAATAGCACCTCGCTCCCCTGCTCTCTATCCACTAGACCGTGCTGCCTCTTGGCTAAGCATATGCCCTTCCCAGCAAAGTTGTGTGTGACTTGGAGCAAGTGTTTCCCATGAAGCGCTGCAGATGGAGCAGCCACACTGCCTGGGACTCAGCAGCGTTCTTGTTTCTGCAGAGACACTCTCAAGAGCAGTGCTCGGGGGAGATGGGGAGCCAGAGATCGCTTGGCGCGACTGCTTCCAGCGGGATCCGTTCCTCGCTGGAGTTCCTTCCCAGGGGCTTCAAGCCAAAGGGCGGGGGAGGCGGCACCACCGTCAAAATCATCTTGAAGGACAAGCCCAAGAAAGGTAACCACAGGGCGCGGTGCCTGCCTGGTGCTGGGGCAGAGGGGATCTGCCCTTGGAATCGGAAGTTGCACATCTGCCGGTGACAAGTCAGCTCAAAAGCCATGCCTGGGGTGGCCCCGTAATGGGGTCGCCTCATTACGGGCCCAGCTCATTCCTCCCCAAGGCATGCCTCTTCCCAGGCAAAAGGAGCATGTGGGGAGAGATTCTGCTTCTGTGGCCACCTTGCAGTGGGGCGGGGCTGATGTGGGACACAAGGTTGGGGCGTTACAGTAGCACCTGAAAGCACCACCTGAGATCAAGGCTTCATTGTGCAGGGTGCTGCACACACACAGTGAGAGACAGCCCTTACCCCAGGGACCCGCAGTCCAACCAGACAAGACAGAAGGGGAAACTGAGGCATGGAGCAGTGAAACGATTTGCTCCAGGTCACCCAGAAGCAGAGGCAGGGATAACACAACGCTCTCCTGATCTCTATCCACTAGACTGTGCTGCCCTTGGAAAACCTGCCAAAACATTTACACAGCCCGGGCTGGGCCTGTGGTCACTTTTCTATGGAGCTGCCCCTCGCGTCAGCAGCAGAAGTGGGCTAGTCTCTGCCAGCATGGCACTGCTTGGGTACCCTCCTCCGGAAGGATCTCAGGGGTGCTAGAAAACGGGGAGGAGCAAGACAAACCCGGCAGACAGAGCCATGTGGGAAAACTCAAGTAATTTGGGGTTGCTTTCTTCCTCCAGCTCCCTCCTGGGGATTTGTCCCTAGGATGGGACATTCTGACCGCTGGATGGGAGCCCTCCAAGGAAAATCAGAGCCCACAGCTACTTGGGCTGCCTTTCAGTAGGTGGCGCTCTTCCCAGTGTTCATGGAGAGGCTTTTTTTCAGATCTAGTCTTGGCAGCTCACATTCATTAAAGATCTCAGTGCAATGTATGCAGGAGTAGGCCTGTGAACCCGACCATCCTGGCCAAAATCCAGCTCTCGTAGCTCCATTCTCCTGCTTCAGTCCCCCTGGGGGTTTCAAGTGGCTCTCGTTTGCATACTCACCTTCTGGCCTGCAATATTCTGTAGTATTGCTGCTGCCGTGTTGTGCCCCAGAAGGGGCTGCGTGGCAGTGGTGGGTGCTGCAGCTTCCTGATAGCTTTGCGAAGTGCTTTGAGATCCATCCGGACGAAGGGCGCCATACAGATGTACATTACAATGATTATTTGTATTGCCCTTTTCCCTTTCCTGTCAGCTTGCATGTACAGTGGGAAGACCTACTCCCATGGAGAAGTTTGGCATCCCATCTTCCGTCTCTATGGAGTCCTACCATGCATCCTGTGTACCTGCAGGGACGGGATCCAGGACTGCCAGAAGATTACGTGTCCCAAGGAATATCCCTGTGAATATCCTGAGAAAGTAGAAGGGAAATGTTGTAAAACATGCCCAGGTAGGTGGGAAAACAGATCGTCTCTCTTTGCCAGCATTCGCTGCTCTCTCCTGAGGTTTTGCCTTCATTTCCTGCTGGGGTTTCTTTCCTTTGCCTTGTTTTAACACCCCAGTCCTAGGTATGCACTAGCTGAACTTCAAACACCAGTTAGTTCATGGAGTGCGCTGCCTTCTGGTCAATGCCTGGCCCGTTGCCCACTCTCCTGTCTCCACTTTCTGGCTGTGGACCCACATCATTTCCTGGGTCCGTGGCATCTGCTTCAGGACACTGCCCTGCATCAGTGCCTGCCACTCCGTTCTCCCCCGTTCTGGGGGTTTCAGTAGTCCTTAGTCCATGCACCAGCCGCCATGGCCAATTGGAGCCCCACACTTTAGCCCCTTGTCTCAGGGGCAAGACGCTGTCTCTATAGGGCCACACTCTTCCACAGCCAGGAGTGGCGTAAGGGGAGAGTGGAGGGACCCAGGCCCTCCCACTATCCTGGGCCCAACCCAGGGACCCTCTGGTAGCTGCCATGTCCTGCCCTCTGTCTCTCCCTTCTACTGCCCACGCTCCCTGGGCCACTTCCCCAGGACCCTTGCACCCACTCAGCCTTTATTTCAAGGCCTGAACTCTGGCAGTGACTAGCCAGAGATCTCCTTGCCCTGTTACCGTACCCAGCACTGCTTTGTCCCCAGTCCCCTTCTTCTCAAAGAGCCTGTCTTTCTTCCTTCCTGGTCAAAGCGAGAGTGATCAGCCCTTCTTCTCAAAGAGCCTGCCTTTCTTCCTTCCTGGTCAAAGCGAGAGTGAGCACCTCTCACTCCTCCAGCCTTTTATAGGGCCCAGCCTGGCCCCGATTGGCTGACTTCTCCCTTCCTCTGATTGGCCAGGTTTGTGCCAACTCCCTCCTGCCTGCTTTTAACCCTTTCCCTGCTGCAGTGGGGCAGTTGCCCCACTACACGAGTCATGTGATGCTAGTGGGCTAAGCACATGTATGTGTTAGCAAATTTAGGGTCCAGCTGTATACATTAACATGGATTTATCTGTCTCCTGATTGGATTCTGGTCTTTTTGTGAAAACTTTCTCGTTTGAATCATAGAAATTAGAGATGGAAATATGCCCTACCCCCTTCAAATGAAGAACTGTTTCTTACATTATGTCCCTCTGTACTTCATTTAGCTTCAGTTTAGACAGTGAAACTTCTACTACTGCCTTAGGATTCTACTCAAGGGGCAGGAATTGCTACATGAAATTGTATGGGCCGTGTGCTACATGAAGTCTGAATAGATGATCACCGTGGCCCCTTCTGACATTGAAATCTATGAATCTCACTGCTAGGAACTTTTTCCTAGTGTACATTGACTGTAACTTAAATACTTTGGTGCAGCCTAAATGATTCCCCCTCACTCCTTCCATTCCTCGTAGGCCGTTATTGCACCTCCCCTACTTCGGCATTGATAAGCCACGTCACATCATTTTGTTATTGACGTCAGCAGAATAAGGGGTTGGCCCAAATTCTTTTCCAAGCAGTTTCCAAGGCTGTTGTCCTCTCACCTTCCATGCAGGGAGAGGGTCTTTGGACCCAGTAGCTCTGATAGAGGAGCTGGCTGGTTTTAATCAGTGTACACATCCAAGTGGGGAGGGGCCAGGATTCCTGGTCGCAGAGGAACTGTTACGATGCAGAGGTGCTTTTTTTTTCAACGTGTATTGTTTATCTAGCACTGGTGTGTCTTCTGCTCAGAGGAGAGGTTGGCTGCTGAGGTTTGTGAGTTCTAGACCCACCTCTACCACTGATTCGTTGTGTTGTCTGGGGGCAAGTCACATAATTATTCAGTGCCGTACGTGCTCCCATTGGTACCTCCAAGGGGTGTTGGAAGGCTTATTGGGCAAATGCTCTGAAAGGTGCAAAGAGGTGCAATTTGCTCTTGCTAGAATCCGTGCAGAATGGCTAGTGGTGCTATACATCCTCTGTTGGGCCATCTTGGTCTGAAAGGCTATGTCTACACTACAGAGTTTTTGTGCAAAAACTCGCAGAGCGTCCACACCTCAAGCACGTTTTTGTGCAAGTATAACGAAAGAACAGAGGGGGTTTTCTGGCGTAGGTATTCCTCTTTCTACGAGGAATAACTCCTTTTTGCGCAATAATTCTTTCTCAAAAAGGTGTGTGTGGATAGGCAACAGGGGGGTTTGTCTCAAAAAGATGTGTGTGGATAGGCAACAGGGGGGTTTGCACAAAAACAGGAAAGAGGAAAAAGAACAGAGGCGTTGGTGGCCATTCTGTGGATAGCTATCAGTCCTCTCTTTCAAGAGAGCATCCATGCAGTCTGGATGCTCTCTTGCGCAAAAGCACATTGCTTTTTCGATGCACTCTTGCAGTGTGGACACTCTCTTGCGCATGAAGCCTGTAGTGTAGACTTATCCTCGGACACTCTCTTGCACATGAAGTCTGTAGTGTAGACTTATCCTAATGGGGGTTTTACCTGCTTTAGGACTATTAAGGCCAGTGTTGGCAAAGGAGGAGGAGGGTAGGCTAGGTACACCTCTGTCAGCATCCTGATAAATCCTAAATCCAGACAGCTCTGTGAATGCTCACGTTATGGTCATTGCAAAACACCACTCTTTTTCTCTCTCTCTCAGGATTCTGAGGTCGTTTACATCAGTGTAAAATAGGAGGTGCAGTAACGGGAGACCCACCACTGTAGAACTGGTTTGAGAGCAGAATCAGACCCCGTACTCTCACTCCTAAAATAAACTCCCTTTATTTATTTATAACCACACTTTCTCTGGAGTAGTGTGAAAAGCTTACCGGCCAAAAGGGTGAGAAAACAAGGCTAAATTCAGCCGTGGGAGGGAGCTTCGCGGAGTTCCAGGAACCTCAACCAAATGCAACAAACCCGCTTCCAACTCTGAAAGCTAATTCTTAATTACTCCCAAAGCCAAAAATCGACCGCACGTTCACTTGGGAGTGTTAAACATTGCCCAAGGTTGTAAATATCCCTCCAGCCCATCCTCCCCACTGACACGGCAGGCCAGAGTCCAAGGGCACATGTCAAGGTGGGTGGGTGATACCTCAATAAGTGCGGGCGAATGATTATAAAGGGGGCTGATTCTGATCTTGCTTCTCCCTCGGGCCCGATCCTGAAGCTACAGGGACGTGCACCAGCCAGAGATCTAGTGGCCAGTTTACTTTGGTGCCCTCCCCTTGACTTAATTGCAACTATCCCTGTTTGTTTGGGAAAAGTGAGATCACAAGCAAGCCCAGTAAGTTTGCACTGGTGTAAATGACATGCCAATGGGCCACAAGAGTGGGGTGCAGCTGGAAGGGCCCCTAGCAGGCAGATGTCAGGAGGTGCCAACTCAGGATTCTTCTCTAGGATGCATCTGTTTTAATCAGGAGTCACCACTCTGAAGACAATGGGTTTACCCATGTCAAGCCACAGGGAGGATCAGGCCCCCAGTTCTTTAATACACATCTTGTGAGACTTTCCTCTCAGTCACTGCTCAGGACAGGAAGTTTTGCTTTGTTTTCCTGGAGCCCACTCCTGAAAAGCATGAGTTGCCCCAGTAATAACACTGTACCGAGCACTTCCCTACTAGAGTCTCCACAGCCCTCAGCCTTCCCCTGGAGGGAGGTCCGGCAGGTGATCCACGGGTGAGGTTGATCAGTCCCACATGGTAGGCCCGTGTGTTATATACACACGCGAATTAAAGCCTCCACTAGCATAGCCTCAGTGGAGCTGTGCAGAGCTACAGCAGCTGAGGAACTGAGCCAAAGACTGGAAAATCATCCCCCAAATTCAGGTGTGTTCACATGCCAGGATGATGTGGTTTAAGCCCTGTTTTATCCCCACCAAAGCCAATGTGCGGGTATCAACACAGCATTTTAGAGCAAGCCCCCAGCTCAGGTTGACACACTTGGGCTAATGGGGCTTGTGCTGGTGTGTTAAAAATAGCGGTGTAGACCAGTGTTTCTCAATCTTTTTTATAAAGTACCCCCTTTAAAAAAAATTATAAGTACCCCCAGTACCTACAGTTTTCAGACACACAACATTTATTTCTACCATTGCAACACATTTGTTTCAACAACTTAATCGTAGCCGGGTGAGTGATGAAATTTTTGGGTGTAAAAAGTACAAAAATAATATAGCACTGTAAAACTTAAACAACAATTCAGTCATCTCAAAATTTCAGTTGTGTTGACGTACCCCTCAGACTTCTCTCAAGTACCCCTAAGGGTACTCGTACCACTGGTTGAGAAACACTGATCATGGCAAGCCCTGTAGACAGTGCTTGGAAGTTGCAGTTTGAGCTCTGAAGTCTCCGCCTCTTCCCCCCCCCCCTTCCCTAGATGTGCCCCTAAGAGAGCCTCATGCGTAGGGGGGACAAATCAAGTTGAGATCCACCAGCAGGACCTGAGATGAGAATTTTGCCTAGTTTTGATTTGGGAAGGTTTTCAGTTGGAGGCTATTTGAAGCCTGTTGCTTTCTATGAACATCACGGAGGTGGTGAATGGGAAAAATAATATTTTCCCCACAACCTATATGACCAATAGGGAGGATAGGGTCATGCATCTAGATATACTGGCATTAGAAAAGGTTCGGAGAAGGGCAGCTAAAATAATTAGGGGTTTGCAACTGGTCCCATATGGGGAGAGATTAAAGAGACTAGGACTTTTCAGCTTGGAAAGGAGGATATTAAGGGGGGATATGATAGAGGTCTATAAAATAATGAGTGGTGTGGAGAAAGTGAATAAGGAAAAGTTATTTACTTATTCCCATAATATAAGAACTAGGGGCCACCAAATGAAATTAATGGGCAGCAGGTTTAAAACAAATACAAGGAAGTTCTTCTTCACACAGCGCACAGTCAACCTGTGGAACTCCTTGCCTGAGGAGGTTGTAAAGGCTAGAACTATAACAGGGGTTAAAACAGAACTAGATAAATTCATGGAGGTTAAGTCCATTAATGGCTATTAGCTAGGATGGATTAGGAATGGTGTCCCTAGCCTCTGTTTGTCAGAGTGTGGAGAGGGATGGCAAGAGAGAAATCGCTTGATTATTACCTGTTTGGTTCACTCCCTCTGGGGCACCTGGCATTGGCCACTGTTGGCAGACAGGATACTGGGCTGGATGGATCTTTGGCCATTCTTATGTTCTTATGATTCAAAAAGATCTGGATAAACTGGAGAAATGGTCTGAGATAAATAGGATGAAGTTTAATAAGGACAAATGCAAAGAACTCCACTTAGGAGGGAACAATCAGTTTCACACATAGGCTATGGCTACACTATGGGTATGGCTACACTAGCCACCCACCAATGGGCAAACTTGGCTAGTGAGTGGATCCTCACACAAGTGGCCCTCCATCTCAGTGGACCCTAAAATTGTCATAATCAAGACAGTCTCTTGGGATAGGGTCGTTTTTCTAACTGCGCTTGCATGTCTAGAATTTGCAGGGTGTGCCAACTGAACTACAGCAGCTCTTTGATTGAATGTAGAGGGAGTGCCCAGCTCACAGTCAACGTTGTGTACAATTAGCACACACTTCACTTCATATGCCTTTGCTTTAGGTGCATGTCACTGTAGCAATAACAGTAAGGAAAAAAAAACTATATAGAAGGAAACTAACAGAATTTGGCAAGGGGGTGGATAGTGTAGCCATACCCTAAGAGTTTTGCTGCAAGAGCCAATGCAAATAAAGTGTGGATTAGTATTTTCTCGCACTTCATTTGCATACTCTCTTACATTCCGTTTTTGCGCTAGAGGTTTTTGTGCAAAAACAGGCAGTGTGGCCATGGCCGTTTTGTGCAAAATACCCTTTTTCGACAAGATCCTTATGCCTTGAAAATATGACCTATGAGGGAAGACTAAAGTTTTTCCTAATGTCCAACTTAAAACTCCTTTGCTGCAATTTAAGCCCATTGCTTCTTGTCCAATTCTCAGAGGCCAAGAAGAAGAATTTTTTCTCTCTCCTCCCTATAACACCCTTTTAGATACTTGAAAACTGCTATCATGTCCCCTCTTAGTCTTGTCTTTTCTAAATTAAACAAACTCAATTCCTTCAGCCTTCCCTCATAGCTCATGTTTTCTAGACCTTTCATTATTTTTGTTGCTCTTCTCTGGACCTTCTCCAATTTCTCCACGTCTTTCTTGAAATATAGTGCCCAGAACTGGACACAATATTCCAACTGAGGCTTAATCAGTGCAGAGTGGAGCAGAAGAGTGACTTATCGTGTCTTGCTCACTGCACTCTTCGTCATGCTGCTCTTCTTGGCTACGTATCTGGGAAACAACTAATGGTGACTTTGTTTGTGCCTAGATGCCAAAGTCAAGCCCACTGATGAAATAAATACCTCCCGATGTGCCAAGAATCTGAACCGGGTCTTGGTCTACATGTTTGTGCCACCCAGCTCTGAGAGCCCAAAGGAAAATCTGAGAAAAATAGCAGTCGTGAAAGACTCTTCTGAAGAGGTGGAAATGTACAGCTGGAAACTGGTAAAAGGTTAGTCTAGTAAATTATATCAGCAGAGGATTTGTAAGGTTTATTTGAAGGGTCATTGGACATACCTGTTTAGTCGTCTCTCCAGCTTTAGCAGGAGAATCACATTTTTTGGCTTCTTCCTGTGGTGCTTCTACCTAGGAACCTTAGTCTGAGGATTTGGAGAGCTATGGGGATGCTTTCTAGCAGGGGTGGACAATAATTTTTGATAGGGTCCACTCCAAGATTTTGTAAGTAGTCAAGAGACACCGTTTTCTATGGCTGGGCTGTGGAGTCTGAGATGCAGGTTGGGTGCAGAAGGGAGCTGGGGTAGGGAATTGGGTTGTAGGAGAGGATGTGGGGTCTGGGAAGGAGTTTGGGTGAAGGAGGAGGTTGTAACCTGGGTCAGGGCACTGAGGTGCAGGAGGGGGTCTGGGTAAGGGTGAAGGAGAGGATTATGACCTGCAGGAGAGGTGTAGGGAGGGAGTTATGACCTGGGACAGGGGTGCAGGAGTAGGTGCAGGGATTTGGGTTGTGACGTGGGACAGGTGCTTGGGGTGCTGGGTCTGTGAGGGGGTACAGGTGCATGAGCTGCTTGGGGAGCTAGGTCTGTGAGGGGGTACAGGTGCATGAGCAGGGTTACAGAGGGTTTGGGCTACATGAGGTAGCGTGTGCGGGGGGGGTGGAAGAGGGTTGGAAAGAGGGAAGGGCTGGGGTGCCAGAGGCAGGCTCTGGCCAGGAGACACTTATCTACCCACACACGCTGCATAGAGCAGCCGGCTGTGGGGTCCATGTGCTACTCTGAGTACTGCAAGCCCCAGGAGGGTGGGGGAGAGTATTTTGCACACTGCCTGCCTTGCAAACAGGCAGCTCCCGTTGGCCAGTTTCTGCTGGGGTAGGGGCAGCATAGACCACCTCTCTCCCTCTCCACCCTCCTCCCTCCCCCCTGCCCAGCGGTGCTCAGAGGGGCACATGGCCCCTGAAGATGGCCACTTTGAGCGGCACACTGAGATTGGGCAGGATCCTGCTGGGCCGTGGGATGGATCTGATGGCTTGGCGGGCTGTATTTTGCCTGCCCCTGCTCTAGACCCCGTTTGCCTTACCCCGTTTGTAAGTAGGGATCCGATGTAAGTCGGATCCATGTAACCCGGGGACTGCCTGTAGTTAAAGGGCCTGATCCTGGGCCCGGGGAAATCAGTGCAAACTTTGACACATCCATGTAACCCAAGTCAGATCCATGTAACCCGGGGACTGCCTGTAGTTAAAGGGCCTGATCCTGGGCCCGGGGAAATCAGTGCAAACTTTGCTACTGATTTCAGAGAGGGCAAGAGGACACTCTTCATGCATTTCGTCTGAGGATCTCAAAGCACATTGAAAATATAGAATGAGAGAAAAGTTGAGCTGGATGGGAAGGGAACATCTAATCCAGCCCCCGTACACTTAGACCTAACATCATCTTCATTTAGTAAGAACAGCAATCCCCTTTGAGACATTATAAAGCACTGGCATTGATTGTTAATTCTGTTTCAATGCACTGGGCACTGGCACGGGGCTGGGGGCTGGGGGCAGGGAGCAGGAGGAAATAAGTTTTGAGGAGACAGTTGCAGGAGCAGGGGGATGGAATTGGCATGGTAAAGAGGATCTGTCTTTGCCTTAGCCCCCGGCCTCTATCTGCTGTCATCCCCTAGCTGTAGTCACGTCACAGGGTGGAGCACACATACTGGGGTTGTTTTTTTCCGTCCCTGTCTATTTTTAGTCAGGCAGTCGATAAGACAGTTTTATGGGAGCATTTTTCATGTTGGGTTTTAAATAGCAGCACTCTAAAAACAGACATTAAAGGCCATTATTAGTACTGAAAAGAAAGAGCTGGCATTAGCAGATTCTCTCTCTCTCTTTCTCACACACACACACACGCATGTGTGCACACATGCTACACACACTCATCAGAACACACCAGGAAATACTGGATGAGGTTCTATGGCCTTGATAAGGCCAGAATAGCTGATCAAAAGGGTACGTTTTGGCTTTTCTGTGAAAAGGCGCAATACTCACTGTCTCAGAAACAGACACGTGTACCTTGTGGGCCAGGCCTGGGTCAGCTGAAATGCTTTCTCTCACACACACTCATCTATGCTGCTGCCAGCACTGTGTAGCACTCTACATAGACACGCTCGGGGCTATGTTAGTTCGCACATGGACACGCAGGGTACGTCTACACTGCACCCTTATTTTGAAATAAGCTATTCCAGAAGAAATACTCCAAAATATCTTATTTCGAAATAGCACGTCTACTCAACAGGGAAGCTTCAAAATTAGTCTGAGGCAGGCTTCCCTAAGGTGAATGTGCTAGCTCGAATTAGGGCCCCAGGAGGCACTGGGGAGAAATTAGTTAGAATGGCCTTAGAGAGGAGCTATTTCGAAATAGCAGCCGTGGAGCATCCACACTACTGCTATTCCAAAATAGCTATTTTGGAATAGGCATTATTCCTCATGGAATGAGATTTACAGAAGTCGAAATAAGCCATCCGTTATTTTGAATTTATTTTGAACTAACAAAATTGCTGTGTAGACACTCCCATTGTTATTTCGAAATAACTGACGTTATTTTGAAGTAACTGTGCTGTGTAGACGCCCTCGCAAATTGTCAGGGCTTCCCTGAGGAGGTTTTCTCACATGGCTCTGACTGTTGCTGGACTCAGAAGGGCAGTGATGGGCCCTTTGCCCACGAGGCAAGGTGAATGAAGGAGAAAAGCAGTAGCCACTGGGCTCCTTCAGGGGTCAGGACATCTGTCTCTCCCCCCCCATCTGCCCCTTCAAACAGAAGACTGCTCTGGGAACCCCCTATGGGTCCTACTGAAATGGATTGTCCAGCGTGATCCACACGCCACTTTGATCTTTCGCAGCTAAGGAAGTTAAATGTTTTCTAGTCATTTAACTAAGGTACTTATATGGCCCCCATCACCAGAGTATCCAAGCTCCTTTGTTCTCCCAACATATTTCTCCTCACAGCACCCCGTGAGGTAAGACAGAGCTGTTATCCTTCTTCCACAGATGAGGAGCTGAGGCCCAAAGTGACTAGGTGACTTACGCAGGGTCATATGTGGTGTTTGTGTCAGAAGAAGAATCAAGCACAGGTGTCCCACAACTCAAACGGGCACCTTATTCACTGGCATACTTCAGCCTTCCTCATTAGATCATTAATGAAGCCTCTAAGCACCGCAGTAAGGGGGGCATTATATCCATCCTATACACAGGCTGCCCAAAGCCACAGATCGGCTCAGGAACAGAGCCAGAAATGGAGCCCCGGAGTCAGGATTAAGGCAGAGTGACACTTTTTGGCGACTAGTAAACTTACCAAAAAAGTATTTCTCTGGGCGCCAAAACAATGTATGAGGTTGGGTCAAATTTGGCTGAAAAACCCCTGCAAACAAACATTTTGGAAATATCAGTCTGAAATGACATTTTTTAAATGCGACATTCGACCTGAAGGAAAATGTTCAGTGTTTTTTTTTTTTTATTTCTTTGAGAAGAACTGAAAAAGCTCATAGACTCATAAACTCATAGACTTTAAGGTCTGAAGGAACCATTTTGATCATCTAGTCTGACCCCCTGCACAATGCAGGCCACAGAATCTCACCCACCCACTGCTAGAATAATCCTCTCACCTATATCTCAGATATTGAAGTCCTTGAAACGATGATTCAAAGACCCCAAGATGCAGAGAATCCTCCTGCTAGTGACCCGTGCCCCATGCTACAGAGGAAGGCAAAAAACCTCCAGGGCCTCTGCCAATCTACCCTGGAGGAAAATTCCTTCCCGACCCCAAATATGGCGATCAGCTGAAATCAGCTCAATTTGAGTTTGAAATGAACCGCTTTTTCAAATATTTCGATTTGGTCAAAAAATCAATGATTCCCTCAGCTCTAGTCATGCCTTTGAGTCCTCTGATTTAACCACTAAATGACACTTCCTCTCACGTCCCAAATCAGTGGACACAGAGACAATTTGCGTATCTTTTTCAGCTTTTCTTTCAAAGGAGGCTTTTCCGAAATCTGGCACGTCCACACAGCACCAAATTTCAGAAAAACCTTCTCTTTCGAGACATCCCTTCTTCCTTGTGAAACGAGGTTTACAGGGATGGTGAAAGAACGTGTCCGCTTTTCCGAAATTTTTCTGGTATCCCGGAAAAGAGCTGCAGTCTAGACATAGCCTAAGTGGGTGGATGAGAAAGGATGTTCCAGGCACATACCTGGCACATTTGTCAGCTCTTCGCTACTCAGTATGAATGTTACAATACCCAATCCATTTTAAAGGTCATCTCCATTGCTAAATACGTGTTCTGGTTCTCTTGAATTAAACAATTGACTCAGCCACCCCCACTCCCATTGTGACTCGGTACCGAAGAAGCATAAATCTATGTTGAAATATTTTTTTATGTATTTCCTATTCAAGCTACATTTCTCAGCTGGGGGATTTAGAAAAAGTTGGCTGCTGCTTATCTAGAAAAATGAAATATGAATCACCAGCCCCATGGATGCAGGAAAGAGGGGCTCTGAAAGGAAGACTGTGCAGATGAGGCCGGAGGTCTTTGTCAGGAGGGCAGTGAGATAGTGAGGGATGTCTTGTTATTGCCATTGCCTGTGTTATGGTAGCAGCTAATGTCTGCAGCTGAGAACAGGGACCCATTGTACTAGATGCTGTAGCTGGGGTGTCCAAGGGCTACTGTTATTGGTTATTACTGTGATTCCAGAGTTCTTTTGAAATAATGATGTTTCAGTGCAAGGTTTTTGCATCTTCCTTTGAAGTATCTGGTGCTGTGGCACTTGGACACAGAATAATGAACTAGCTAATGGGTGGCAAGGCATTGCAGAGGGATCGCTCCAAACGGGCTGACGGGGCCACAAAATGGTAGCTGAATGCAGTGCTGATATGTGCAAAGTAATGCACACTGGAACAAATAATGCCAACTCTCTGTATATAATGATGATTTGGAAGGGTACATCTACACTACATGGCTATTTGGGGATACCGGAGGTATCCTGAAAGAGCTACTCTGCGTCTACACAAGCTGTATGCTATTTCACCATCACTGTAAACCCCATTGCATGAGGGTTAAGGGATGGCTCAAAATAGCACATTATTTCGAAATTTGGCACTGTGTAGATTTCCCGTGTCTTGCTTAGAATAAGCAATTTTGAAAGTCATTGTGTAGACACCCTAAAAAAGAGCTGTTACCATCTCCCAAAGGGTGCGTCTACACTGCAGGGCTTAACTCGAAATAAGCTATGCAAATTGAGCTATGTCAATTGTGTAGCTTATTTCAAAATAGGGAGCGTCTATACAGCATTTATTTAGAAATTGAGCTCTCTTCCTCCGACTTCTCTTATTCCTCGTACAATGAGAGTTACAGGAGTCGGAGTAAGAAGTCCTCCAGCTTGACAGCATTTTGACACTATTTTGAAATAACTGCCTGCTGTGTAGACGTGAACTAAGTTATTTTGGTACAGCGCTAGTTATTTCAAAATAGTGTTGCAGTGTAGACATACCCTTTAAAGAGATCTTGGAGTCACCATAGATCATTCTCTGAAAATTTCTGCTCGGTGCACAGCAGCAGTCAAAACGGCTAACAATAAGTTAGGGTCTACTGGGAAAGGGATAGATAATAAGCCAGGGTATGTCTACACTACCCCGCTAGTTTGAACTAGCAGGGTAGTGTAGACATACCCCCAGAAAATATCATGATGCCCCTATACAAGTCCCTGTGCACCCACATCTTGAATACTGCATGCAGTTCTGGTTGCCCTATCTCAAAAAGGATACAGTGGAAATGGAAGAGGTTCAGAGAAGAAAGGGCAAGAAAGATGATCAAGAGTATGTACGGGTTTCCATATGAGCAGCAACTGAGAAGATTAGGGATGTTCAGCTTTGACAAGAGAGGGCTTGGGGGGATATGACAGAGGTCTATAACATGAATGGTGGAGAAAGTGAATAAGGAAGTTTTATTTACTTTTTCCTGTAATAGAAAAACAAGAACCTGCCCCATGAAATTAATAGGCTGTGGGTTTAATACAAGCAAGAGGAAGTACTTTTCCCCACAATTCACAACTAGCCTGTGGAACTCATTGCCACAGGATGTCATGAAGGCCAAAATATGCCTAAGTTCAGAAAAGAGCTGGTAAGTTCATGGAGATAGGTCCATCAATGGCTACTAGCCAATATGGTCAGGGATGCAACCCCATGGATGTGGTGACCCTAAACCTCTGACTATCTGAAGCCAGGGTTAGAAGCCGGGATGGATCTCTCCATAATTGCTCTGTTCTATACACTCTCCTTGACTCTCTGGTACAGGCCACTGTTGGAGTAGGATACTAGGTAAGATTGACCATGATCTGACATGGCAGCTCTTGTATACTTAGATGGACAACAGGTCTGATCCAGCCTGTCACTTCCACTGTTCCTATGTTTTTTCTTTCTAATTAGCTAATGAAAGAGAAGCAAAGCCACTGGAGATGGGGTTGTTGTTTTTTTAAACAGACATGATCAGTAAACTACAACTGGCTGTAAGATGCTCATACCAATTGTCTTTGTCCCCAGGAATATTTCATTTGATACAGATCAAGAAGATCAGGAAACAGGAGTTCAGCCCAGAAGCACAGAACTTTAGGCTGATCACCAGAACAAATGAAGGTATAAATAAAAATATATAAATCTTTCTCCTGTAAACTCTGAGGCTACATCTACACTGGCCCCTTTTCCGGAAGGGGCATGTAAATTTCACTAGTCGTCGTAGGGAAATCCGCGGGGGATTTAAATATCCCCCGCGGCATTTAAATAAAAATGTCCGCCGCTTTTTTCCGGCTTTTAAAAAAGCCGGAAAAGAGCGTCTAGACTGGCCCCGATCCTCCGGAAAAAGTGCCCTTAGGGGGCTGGAGCATATGACCTATGAGGAGAGGCTGAGGGAGTTGGGTCTGTTTAGTCTGGAGCTACTTCAAAGTAGGAATAAGAGCCTCCGGAAAAGGGCGCTTTTTCCGGAGGATCGGGGCCAGTCTAGACGTTCTTTTCCGGCTTTTTTAAAAGCCGGAAAAAAGCGGCGGACATTTTTATTTAAATGCCGCGGGGGATATTTAAATCCCCCGCGGATTTCCCTACGACGACTAGTGAAATTTACATGCCCCTTCCGGAAAAGGGGCCAGTGTAGACGTAGCCTGGGTTTACTGGAGACTGGGTTCTACCAGTATTAGTCCTGGGATCAATAGTCGTTCCATAAAAATCTTTTTTACCCCACTGAGCAAAGGTGGGGAAATGAAATACAGTGCGAGCAAGCTGACTTGTTCACATTTAACAAAAGGACACAACCTAAGTGTCTTCCAACACATTCACAGTCCGCTTTGTTACCAGTCACATCTTTACTTTATAATATTTGAAAGGGCTGCCAAGGTCCTTAAAATGGACACATGATTATGCAACCCAAAGGTTACATCCCTCCAAAGTCCGTAAAACTGTTTGATTTTTTTATATCTAATCCATCTGGCATTACTGGAAAAAGTGAGGCAATGGATTTGAGAAAAAAAAACCACTCACTGAAATATTAAAATCCTCTTTAAGGTTCCTGGAAGTGTGTAAATGTTGTAAGAATCTGTCGTCACCAGAGCCCATGCCGACAGAGAGTGGTTGTGGAGGACCTCATCCATACAGTCATTCACCTCTAGGTTGCCTGTTCTAGTTTAGCCCGTGCCAACACTGACTATGTTGTTCAGCAATTTATGTAACATGAGCATGAGGGTCTCAGCCAGGCCCACTGATGGGGGGGGACAAAGGGGTCAACTGCCCCGGGGCCAGCCAGCGGCACTGCCACCATGGCAGCAACAGCGCACGGAGCCAAAGTGCTGTGTGGCATGTCCTAACACCAGGCTTCCCCACGGATGGACCTGGCTCCCACATTCAGAAAGCAGGATAAGGGACCTCTGAAATCAGGGAGGTGGAGTGGGATCCACCAGGAAACTTGGGGAAAGGGCATCAGCCTCTAGAGCACAGGGTGGTGGGCTCAATCCTACCCCCCTCCGCCCACCCAGGCAGCGGCTGGGCAGGCAACACTGGCACCCCCACGAATCAATACACCTGCATTAGGAAGCAGGATAAGGAACACCTGGTAGGTAGGTAGGTGAGGTGGCTTCCCAAGTGCCCTAGGAGATAGGGCATTTGTATGGAGACCACAGGCTGGTGGGCTTGAGTCCTACCACCCACCCTGGGAGCAGGCAAACAGCCAACACAGGCTCCCCCATAGCAGGAGCTGGCTCTAGCACACGGAAGGCAGAATTAGGTAAACCCAAAGGCTATGCCTAGACTGCCCCCTCTTATGCAAAAAAATATGCAAATGAGGCAAAGCATAGACTATCACCACACCTCATTTGCATAATTAATCAGGCTCTCTTCTTGTGCAAAAACCCCCTTTTGCTCAAGAGCCGTTCTTCCTGAAAAAAAAAAGAGAATGAATGGTTCTTGAGCAAAAGCCTCTTGCGCAAAAACGGAGCCTCATTAATTATGCAAATGAGGCACAATGCTATTCCACATTTCACCTCATCAGCATATTTTTTGCACAAGAGGGGGCAGTCTAGACATAGCCAAAAGGTACAGCAATGGGGTGGGTTGTGGAGTGGCCTAAGGGACAGGGCATTTGTCTGGGGACAGCAAGGTGGGGGGCTCAAGTTCTGCCCCTTCTCCACTGGGCCTGGAGCCCTCCTCATACCCCATCTCCCTGGGAAGGAGATGAAGTGTATATCAGGCCATTGATTTCAAAGGGCCCTGAACCAGGGTTGTATTAAGTTACTTGCTATCTATTTGGTGGATAATTAGAGGACTTTGGTCTCTGAGTCCATATTTCCCTTCCTGATTATTTCATGCATCCAGGTTCCTCTATGCAGTAAACACTGACTCCGTGAACTTCATTGCAGAGCTGTGTGTGCTGTCTGGAGAGCTTGTTTTTAACCTTTGACTCTTGCTTCTGTCCCCGATTTTCATTTTTTGTCTCCTCTGTGCACTTAGATCCTGGGTGGTGTGGTCTGTCCGTCCCCTCAAGAGACAGGGTCTCTGGAGGGTCTGCTCAGAATCTCTGGATTTTCAATAGAGCGGTCCCATTTGTGAGCACTCACATTCCTGAGTCATGCACAGTACAACACTGTTGAAAGTTATGCACAGTGGAGATTTCAAGAACAAAAATTAATTGGGCTGAAAAACAGCCAAGGCAGAAATGCCTAAAATGGCTGTTTAAAATTCCTTTTGTTCATCCTTATTTCGCCCCCACATGGATTAACACCGTGTCACTGTGATCCTGTTTTTCCTGATGAAGCTTCCGATGACCTAAGCACCCTGCCCTCTGCGATTTCACAAGTGTGCCGCTTTGAAAGGCATTGTGGTGTGAAAAAAATGGCTGCATTGTGCAATCATCAATTAGAGTTACTGAGATTTCTAGGAAAGCATTGGCCAGCGATTGCTTAGTGACAGGAGACTAATTCAGCTAGAAAATATTCTTCCCAGATATGATGGGATGCAGAATCCTTCCTGGGATTAACGGGGCTGAGATCAGCTGCCGTCAGAAGTAGGAAGGTTTCAAAGAATACTGGAATTAGAAACTCACTAGTAATACAAAAGACAGCCTCCCCAGTAGGGATGTAAAAAATTAACCGGTTACCCGGTGATCATTAGCTTTATTGGTGGGCTTACCCAGTAACCAATAAATCAGAGGGCTCTGCTTGCAGCGGACCTCCTAGCAGGACTCCGGCTGGGGGAGACCCTCCCTGGAGCAGTCCCTGCTGCAGAATCCCAGCTGCTCTGCACCAGCCGTCCACACTTAACCAGTTATATGATTACAATGATAGCATTGAAACAATTAACTTTTTAAATGGGTATTTACATCCCTACACCCCAGCACCTTTTGTGGCTGATTTTGAAACAGGGTAGAATGTCTATTGTGACATTTCTCAGTAAAATACATCCGAACCAATATACAACAGCACTTCTTCGGGACAGTGTGTCCTACCCATTCGAAATAGATACATGGCCCCACAACCATAGCATCTGAGCAGATCATCATTTTAATATATTTATCCCCTTAGCACTCCCGTGAGGTAGGAATCATAGAATCACAGAAGTGGAAGGGACCTCGGGAGGTCATCAAGTCCAGTCCCCTGCACTCATAGCAGGACTAAGCACCATCTAGATCAAGGTAGGCAAATGCCAGCCTATAGCCTGGATCCAGATCCAGCCCCCAATGCTATATTTACCTGCAGTCTCAGGTACCAACAATTGCTGCTCCCATTGGCCACAGATCCCCATTCCCAGCCAATGGGAGCTACAGGAAGGGGGGTCCCAGTCTGTGCCACTTCCCACGGCTCCCATTGTCTGGGAACAGTGATCCACGGTCAACAGGAGCTGAGATCACTGGTACCTGTAGCCGGGCAAGTAAATATAGCAGCTGCGACCTGCCCAGGGTGAACTGATGCATGTTATTGCCCACCCCTGATCTAGACCAACCCTGACAGGTGTTTGTCTAACTGTCTCTTACATATCTCTAGTGATGGAGATTCCACAACCTCCCTGGGCAATTTATTCCAGTGTTTAACCATCCTGACAGTTAGGAAGTTTTTCCTAATGTCCAACCTAAACATCCCTTGCTGCAATTTAAGCCCATTGCTTCTTGTCCTATCCTTGTTAAGCATAATAATTTTTCTCCCTTCTCCTTGAAACACCCTTTTAGATACCTGAAAGCTCTTACCATGTCCCCCCTCAGTCTTCTCTTTTCCAAAATAAACAAAGCCAGTTCTTTCAGTCTAACCTCAAAGGTCATGTTTTCTAGACCTTTAATCATTTTTGGTGCTCTTCTCTGGACCTTCTCCAATTTGTCCACATCTTTCCTGAAATATGGTGCCCACAACTGGACACAGCACTCCAGTTGAGGCCTAATCAGTACAGAGTAAAGCAGAAGAATGATTTCCCGTGTCTTGCTTAGAAGACATTAAACTGTTAATGCATCCAAGAATTATGTTTGCTTTTTTTTTTTTTTTTGCAATTGTGTCACACCATTAACTCATATGTAGCTTGTGGTCTACTCTGATCCCTAGATCCCTTTCTGCAGTACTCCTTCCTAGACAGTTACTTCCCATTCTTTATGTGTGAAAGTGATTGTTTCTCCCAATGTGGAGTACTTTGCATTCATCCTATTTACCTCAGATTATTTCTTCAGTTTGTCCAGATCATTTTGAATTAGAACCCTATCCTCCAAAACAGTTGGGATTGGTCCTGCCTGGGGCAGAGGGCTGGACTTGATGACCTCCTGAGGTCTCTTACAGCTCTATTATTCTGTGATTCTATGAACAGTGTTTCTCAACTTTTTTTATAAAGTACCCCTTTTTTCAAAAAAAAAAATTATAAGTACCCCCTGTACCTTCAGTTTTCAGACACACACATTTTTTTCTACCATTGCAACACATTGGTTTAAACATCTTAATCGTAGCCGGGCGGGTGATGAAATTTTTGGGTGTAAAAAGTACAAAAATAATAAAACGTAAAACTTAACTGGAATTTGGAGAAAACTGAATTTTTCTTTTGTGTTAATGTACCCCTCAGACTTCTCTCGAGTACCCCTAAGGGTACTCATATCACTGGTTGAGAAACACTGCTCCAAAACACTTGCAATCCTTCCCAATTTGGTATCATCCACAAACTTTATCAGCATATTCTTTATGCCATTATCTAAATTGTTGATGAAGATATTGAACAGTCCCAAAACCGATCCTTGTGAAACCCCACTATTTATGCCCTTCCTGTGAATCATTGATAACTACTGTCTCAGAATGAGTGTCAAAAGGGTAGCCATGTTAGTCTGTATCTGCAAAAACAATTAGGAGTCCTGTAGCATCTTAGGGCATGCCTACACTGGGGACTCATTTTGAAATAACCCCCTTTTTTCGAAATAACAAGGCGAATGTCCACACTACCAAGCCCGTTATTTCGAAATACAGGGCTTATTATTTTGAAATAATAACTCCTGCTTGTGAAGAGGAATAGCTTATTTCAAAAATAGTTATTTCAGGAGTTATTATTTCAAAATAACTTATTTAAAAATAACTCCCTAGTGTAGATATAGCCTTTGGGTACATCTAGACTACCGGGTTTTGTCGACAGAAGTTTTGTCGACAGTATCTGTTGACAAAACTTCTGTCGACAAAGAGCGTCCAGACACATTGAGTTCTGTCAACAAAGCAAGCTGCTTTGTCGACAGAACCCTGTAGTCTAGACGCAACCCTACAGGCAATAACACCTTCTGTCGACAGAGTTCTGTCGACAGAAGGTGTTATGCCTCGTAAAATGAGGTATACCAGCGTCGACAAAACTGCTGAGTTCTGTCGACCTTATGTCGACAGAACTCAGCGACAGATCTCGGCGGTAGTGTAGACGCTGGTATAGTTTTGTCGACAAAAGTCCACTTTTGTCGACAAAACTCAGTAGTCTAGACACACCCTTTGAGAGTAACATATTTATGAGGGCATACCCAGTGGAATAGTGTGCTCTTGTACCCTTAATAATATCCCTTAACCAATGAGAGACCAGGAAATAGTTTATGCCCTCATAAAACTGTTAGTCTCTAAGGTGCCACTTATAGCAGTCCCATTTAGATTGTATTTCCCTAGGTTATTGATAAGAAGGTCATGTGAGACTGTATCAAATGCTTTACTAAAGTCTAGGTATGCCATGTCCACCGCTTCTCCCTCATCCACAAGGGTTGATATCCTATCAAAGAGAGCGATCAGATTGTTCTGACATGATTTGCTCTGTTGCTTATCACGTTATGATCTTCCAGATATTTGCAAATGGATTCCTTAATTATTTGCTCCGTTATCTTTCCTGGCACAGAAGTTGAGCTGACTGGTCTGTAGTTTACTGGGTTGTCCTTGTTTCCCTCTTTATAGAGAGGCACTATATTTGTCCTTTTTCAGTCTTCTGGAATCTCTGCCATCCTCCATGACTTTTCAAAGGTGATAGCTAATGGCTCCGATAGCTCCTCAATCAGCTTGAGTATTCTAGGATGCATTTCATCCAGCCCTGGTAACTTAAAGGTATCAAACTTTTCTAAGTAATTTGTAACTTGTTCTTTTCCTATTTTAACTTCTGAACCTAACTCCTTTCTCGAGCATTCACAATTGTAAGCATCCAGTCACCAAAGCTTCTTGGTGAAAATGGAAACAAAGAAGTCATTAAGCACCTCTACCCTTTCCACAGTTTCTATTTTTGTTTTTCCCTCTTCATTGAGCAATGGGCCTACCCTGTCTTTGATCTTCATCTTACTTCTAATATATTTGTAGAATGTTTTCTTGTTACCCTTTATGTCTCCAATTAGACTGAGTTAATTTTGTGCCTTCGCCTTTCTAATTTTGCCCACACATACTTGTGCTATTTGTTTATATTCATTTTTACTTTGACCTAATTTCCATTTTTTATAGAAGTCCTTTTTGATTTTTAAATAATTCAAGATCTCCAGGTGAAGCCAGGGTGGTTTCTGGCGATACTTCCTATCTTTTCTATGCAGTGTGCTTTTGCCCTTAATAATGTCCCCTAGCCAATGAGAGGCCAGGAAAAAAGCCCATCACAAGTTATGACCAATCACAACAAGATTGTGGTTTGTGACCAATCACAATGAGGTAACTGAATGTGGATTTCAGAGTTCCAAGGAGGAGCTAGAGAGTTAGCAAATTTTACCCCCAAAATATATTGAATTGGTTAAATTGCACCCCCAAAATGTATTGTATTGATTTTGATAAGGAATACATTTGAGAAAAATGTGCTATTTTCTTCCATGCTCCATAAACACAAAAAGAAGTGCAGTTCTTCCAAACACCAGCATAATACAAATGATTAGTTCCAATAATACTTAGCGCTTCTATCATTTACCATGTTGACAAGGGCTCGATCTTCATCTGGTGTAAACTGCCTTCATCTTCTGAGGAGCTGGTCCTAACTAATTAAATTGCACAATACCTTTCAGAGGTAGATGAGGATTATTTAATCCCCATTCCACAGGCTGAGAAACCTTGTAGGCAGGGTGATTTGCCAAAGATTACACCAGAAATCTTGGGTGGAGGTTGAAACCACATCTCCTGACAGCCACATGTTATTTTGATTAGTTGTATGATCATAGTGCATAGAGGCCCCCAAAGAGATAATGGCTCCATTATGCTAGGCACAGTATATATGCATGTTAAGAGATAGTCCCTGCCCCTAAGGTTTTATAGTCTAGTTAGACAAGCCAGAACTAAAAGAGATAGGAGAAAGAAGCACTGAGATATGAACTGAGTTGACCAAGGCCGCAGAGAAAATCAGTGGCCGAGCCTTGAGTCTGCCCTCCATCCCAAAGTCATGGGATAGGTTGGAGTAACTGCATGGAAGGGTTTAAACTGGAATGAGTGTGGAGCTGCTGGAGGGCTGGTGACGGGGGTTATGTAGCTGTTTCTTGTTGTATTTGAGGGCAGCAGCTTGCTATCTATGTTTGAATCTAGAGACTTGGGATTTAGGCAGCCTAGGGTGTGAGGAGTCTATGCACAGCAATCTTGTTTTTGGGACAGTCATGCATAGTTTCCATTGTTCTAAAACGGGAAGAAAAAGGTAACTACATAGGGTATGTCTACACTACCCCGCTAGTTCGAACTAGCGGGGTAATGTAGGCATACCGCAATTGCAAATGAAGCCCGGGATTTGAATTTCCCAGGCTTCATTTGCATAAGCGGGGCGCCGCCATTTTTAAATCCCCACTTGTTCAAACCCTAGATAAAGGACTAGGCTTCCTAGTTTGAACTACCGTTACTCCTCATGGTTCATGCGGCACGGGCTAGGTAGTTGGAATTAAAGCTCCTAATTCGAACTACCGTTACTTCTCATTGCAGGAGGAGTATAGGTAGTTCGAATTAGGTGCTTTAATTCGAACTACCTAGTCCGTGCCGCGTGTAGACGCAGGCAGGTTGTAGACATACCCATAAGGACTCCTGGGGTGCTGGTTTTCCATCCATCTCTTCCCTTATCTAACTCTTTGCTTCGGGCCTGTAGCTTTTTGGGCAGGGGGGCTAAGGTCTCTTTCTATTTTGGGACTGTAGGTCCTACTCAAAAGCATAAGGGAAAACTGATGTGGAAAACCCCTAACATCACCCAGGAGGGATGGTTTCAGCCTCTGAAATCCCCATGCTCTGTGGAAAACCAATATGGAGTCAGACTTGATGGGGCACTACACTAATGCAAATATAGAAGTAATAATAATAGTGTGAGCTCACTACCTGCAGCTCTCCCTGGTGAGATCTTACAGACTTAAACACAGATAAGTAAAGACCCCAGGGCACAGACCAGGGAGTTAGCTCTGGTTTTCCTGAGCCACCTTTCTCCCAACACAGGCTTTGGAATGCCACCCTCTGCCCCATGGATGGCTGAATGTCAGAGGTGAGGCGATCCCGGGAGATATTTGACTTCACTCAGACACCACTCCCATTGAAGTCTGGGGGTTTGCCCGAGCACAGACTGCAGGATCAAGTCCATAACTTGACAGATTTTAGGACCCATCAGCATCATCATGATAACCCTACTATGTCCTATGCAAAACAGACCACTGAATTTCACTCTGCAGTGAAGTATTATTCTATAATCCACCCTTTGCAAAGTCCTGTATTTTCGGATTTTTCAGGATGGGAAGTGTGATATCAATGGTCTCTTTGTTTCATTCTGCTTCCCCATCTGTCTCTTGTCTTATCCTGCGATTGTAAGTATAGGATAACGCTCTCTTTGGGTATGTCGACACAGCAACATTATTTCGAAATAACTAGAGTTATATGAAAATAACTTAGTCCACGTCTACACAGCAGGCAGTTATTTCACAATAATGTCAAAATACTGTCCATCTGGAGGACTTCTTACTCTGACTCCTGTAACCCTCATTGTACAAGGAGTAAGGGAAGTTGGAGGAGGAGGGCTCTATTTCAAAATAAGTGCTGTGTAGATGCTCCCAATTTCGAAATAAGCTACACAATTGATATAGCTCAATTTGCGTTTTTTATTTTGAGTTAAGCCCTGCTGTGTAGATGCACCCTCAGTGTCCTGAGTTTGTACAGCACCTAGCACATGGAGTCTTGGTCCATGAGTAAGGATCCTGGCACCATGGTAATACAAATAATAATTATTTATTACTATTACATTCCCAATAAGGCAAGTTTCAGAGAGTCATCTGTAGTGAATATGTCTTCTGTTCTCATTTAGGTCACTGGAACATTTTCAGAGCCCAAACATCAGGGCTTCAGATGACAGAGAGTCCAGAGAAAGAAACAAAGAACTTGTAAAAAAAAACAAATTTTATATATTAAATATATATGAAAAAAGTTGCATTATTAAATAAACTTGCACAGCAATAAAAGGAAAGAAAGACAGCTATCAACAAAAAACGTAAGCAATTAAAGCAACGAGGACAACAGATCTGCGTCGGAAACACGGCTACAACCATGGAGGGACATCCTTTGGAATGTTCCAAGAGATGGGTTGGGGGAGTCAGACCCTCGTCTCCTACTCATCCAAGATTTCAGATGTGCAAAAAAAGAAGACGACAGGAGGGAGGCAACACACCTCATGCACTGTGAAGAGAGAAAATACAGGCTGTGGTTCCCAGCTTTGTATCTCTAACCAGTATCATGGACTACCCGTGAAACAGCACAGGAGACTTGTTCCTTCTACCATTATCATCTTAAAGGAGACCTGCTAAGAGAGAAAATCTCCATTGTTTCCTTTTTAATATGCAGAGCATTTGTTTTGTCTACAAACTCTATTGCTTTAGAAATATCAGCTCTTCAACTGTTTTAGCTGTAAGACTCTTTGGAGGACTGGAGAACTAGTGATGTTATAATCCCACATAACATCATCACGGCAAGTCTCCAAGAGATGGAGCCCCTCTGCAGACTAGCGTAGGCCCTAATTCAGCCAGACATTCAAGTACAGGCCAAACATTAATCCTATGAATAGTTGCACATTCTTCAGTAGAACTATTCATATTCATAAAGTTAGGTGACATGCTTAGGTTCCTGGCTGAATCACGGTCCTAAATAGGGACAACTCCAAGGGTATATCTAGACTACATGCCTCTGTCGCCAGAAGCATGTAAATTAGACTACCTGACATAGTCAATGAATCCGGGATTTAAATATCCCCGGCTTCATTAAAATAAAAATGGCTGCTGCACTCTGCCGACTCAGCTGATCATCAGCACAGTGTGGCAGTCAAGACGCGGATTGGTTGACAGGGAACACCTTTGTCGACTGCTCCTGTAAACCTCATTTCATGAAGCATAAGGGAGCAGTTGACAAAGATGTTCCCTGTCGACCAATCTGCGTCTTGACTGCTGCGCTGTGCCGACGATCAGCTGAGCCGGCATAGCACGGCGGCCATTTTATTTTAATGAAGCTGGGGATATTTAAATCCCGGCTTCATTGACTATGTCGGGTAGTCTAATTTACATGCCTCTGACAACAGAGGCATGTAGTCTAGACATACCCCAAGAGATTAATCCAATTGTTTACAAAACTTTATATTCCCTTTGATTTACTGACTGCCTATTTAACTCATATGCCCAACAAAGAGGAAGGAGAAAAATTCTTCTTGAGAAAGATTCAAACATCCTTCACCCTCTACCTAATAGATAAAAAAGCTCCCATTCCAGTTATTTTTTCCTCAAAGGAGGCCTCCAGCAACAAACAGAGATGACACAATTTGATATTCTTGATATTTCTAAGGTGGAAAAGGAGCATGCTTTTTTTTTAAACACAGAGGCTATGTCTACACTGGCGCGATCTTGCACCAGAGCTATGCAAATGAGGCTAAGTGTGGAATATCGCTGAGCTTCATTTGCATATCTAATGAGCCTCTATTTGTGCGGAAGAGGCTCTTGCGCAAGAAGGAGCGTCTACACTGCCCCTTCTTGCGCAAGAAAAACCCTCTTGTGCAATGTTGTTATTCCTGAAAATAATCAGCATGACAGCATTGCACAAGAGGGTTTTTCTTGCACAAGAAGGGGCAGTGTAGACGCTCCTTCTTGCGCAAGAGCCTCTTCCGCAAAATTGGCGGCTCATTAGATATGCAAATGAGGCTCGGCGATATTCCACGCTTAGCCTCATTTGCATAGCTCTGGCTCAAGATCGTGCCACTGTAGACATAGCCTAAGGGAGAGAAATGGTTAGTCCTCCTTTATGCATCATAAAGAAAAAAAATGCAGAACCAACAGATAATTTTTTCTCTTTGCAGGTCACCTATGTTTACTTTTCAGGGCCACATGCTGATGTAGAGCATCATGCTCTAAAACTTAAAAAAAGTTAACTACAGTGCTTAGAAATCCCCATGAAATGCAAGGGCCCAATTCATCCCTACTGTAACTGCACCACCTTCAACAGAGTTACTTCAGGTTTGAATTTGGTCCAAGATGTAAATTTCCAACCCTCCATATTTTTTTTTCTTGCCCTACCATATCTGGATCAGTTTCAGCCACTGGCAAATGTTAGGGAGGAGGAGTTATCTGGACGCTCTGAAATCTGGTTTTCCAACCAGAATTGGAAGGGAAGCTACTCTCTGTAAAGCCAAAAACATGAAGCCAAAAGTCGAGTGCCCAAAACCTTGTGTAGTCAGTAAGGATACATCTACACTGCAGTTTTTCTGGTAAAACTATACTTACGTCAACACTGCTATTGCATTCTTTCAACAGAAAGTCAAATGAACAGAAGGGTAAACACCTTTCTACGAGGAAAAAGCCTTTTTCTGTGTGTGTGGATGTGGAAGAGGGAGTTTTTTGGAAAGAAGAGGCCTCCAGGAAAAAGCACACATGCCCTGGTGACCACTCCTTCCACAGTTATCACAACTTAAATGTGAGATAGCATCCAATCAATGTGGATGCCATCTTTCGAAAAAGCACATTGCTTTTTCGTTGAGCTTTTGCTGTGTGGACACTCTCTTTCCAAATAAGCTTTTCCAGAAGATCTCTTCCAGAAAAGCTTCTTCCGAAAGAAGCCTGCCAACTAGACATAGCCTAAGTGGCCTGGTTTTCAGGCACACACAGAATCCCAGCTTCCTATGGCACCCACATGCGAGCTGCAGGAGTTAGCACTGCATCTGTCCTGTCAGGCAGGCTCCTAGGCTACTGAGCATGTCTCAACTCACCAAATCCATTGCAGGGCAGTTCTGATCCTGACTTCAAATTTGGGGGAACCCAAGTGCACCAAAGTAATAAATGGCTCAGCGTCTCCTGGAAAAGTCCTGCAGCATTTGCCAATGCTAGTATAATTGCCACCAGGTAGATTTGTACCTGGGACTTCAGCACAGGAGTCTCTACAGCTTGAGCTACAAGCCAGCTACAGTCTGACTTAGGCTGCAGAGACTCTTGTTCTTATCTCTTGCTTTAAGTGCCATTTCATGGGCTGGCGAACCACACTACTTATGTGGGTTACACTAGCACTTGCTGCTGCTCTCTCTCACATTAGGCTAAACTCTGAGGCACAGCTGATGCAGCTGGGTGGTCACTGGTGGCTTCCAACCACAATACCCCTGAGTGGGTAATGACCATTAAAGCACCGTCTCAGGTTCTTGCTGGCAAATGTTTGCGAATGAGACGAACTGCCCCAGCCCCACCTTTCACCCAGTCCGAGGAAGAGAATCTCTGTGGGCAGAGCCAGATTATCCATTAGGCAACATAGGCATGCTGCCTCGGGCCCACGAAAATATTTAGGGCCTGCAAAAAAATTCAGGCCTAAAAAAAATCATAATTGACTTGAAAGTAAGAAAAGAAAGCTGCTAAATCAACTTAATAATTTGCTATGTTTAGTCAACAAACAACATACAAATCCAACATTCAATTAAATATTAGGCATATAGGCAATAGGGCATGTCTCCCTTATCTATTTATATATATTCTACTTTAAAGGCCTATAATTATGAGAGTGCCCCTATAAAGACCTTAATCTGGGGGTCCAGTCCCTGCTTCCTCCTTGCTCCATGGGAGGAATAAACTAGACCAGCCTTTCTCCCAGTGTAGGCTACTTTTGTCCCTCCAGGCTGGCTCAGCTGTTGGCCATTGCCCTGGGCAGGGGGAGCTACGGCTCCACCCACTCCTGGGAGATGGGGAACTGGGAACCATCCATAGCTGCCCTCCTCTCTTGCAGAGTCTAGGGATGCATCTAGGTTCCTCCCATGAAGGGGCTCACAGCCAGAGGCATGCCAGTTTGCAAGTGGAAGGAGGCAGTGCTTTGCCTGGCAGGCATGAAGTGATTTTTCCTTGTGACCGACGCCCTGGGGCACAAAGAGGACAGGGCGCCAGGGTGCTTCATGGGACAGGGACAGAGAACAAAGCACAGCAGCTGGGTACATTTGCAAGCGGCTCCCTTGCTTCCCATCCCCAGTTCCCTCCCATCCCAGGCACAATGACCTGGAGGTCCCTGCTGCTCTGTTATTTCTTAAGAAATGCCAAGAAACTTTAAGCGAGATGATTTGGGGGGGCAGGGAAATCCATCCTATCAAGATGCCCGAACTGATGCGTGTCATAAAACGGGGCCCTCAGCCGCACTCTCCCGGTGGCGGCTGAGTGAGGACTAAGTCCACCAACTGCAGGTTTACCCTGCTGATGGCCCCCTCAACCAGCAATTTCCCGTCCTTGATCCAGGCTGATCGGGGCAAACACTGTGGTTGTACTTATTTGCAATTCAAACTGCATGTTAATTTATAGACAATTTGGGGGGCAGAACCTGCTCTTACAGAAATCAGTGGCTAAGCTCCCATTGAGTTCAAAATGGCAGAGGGGCTGAGCCCGACGTGTGGCACCTGAGACTCTGGTAAAATGCCACAGCCCTCGGTGCCACACAGATTGGACATCCTCTCTTGGCTTATACTTACATGGCAATGAAAGAAGTATTTCCTTGCTAACGTAGCCTGCGAAGATGTAACCTCTGGAGTTCTCAGCTGTTGGGGGCTGAGAGCTAAACAATGCACTAAGGTATCTCTTTAGCACATTATTATGCCGGCATAAATAAATATATATACATCTCTCTATACATATATCTTACATAATATCTACTGACTATATTCACAGGAGGGAGCATCTCCCAAAGGGAAAACGGAACCATTTCTTCTATGAGCATACAAGGGCGGTACGTGGTAGCACTGACATGTACACTGACCGGAAATAGCTTTGGGGGATTTTCAGATTGTTCGGTAGCGGTATTTATCTGTGGGTTTTGTTTGGTTTAATCTATTTATTTGGAGATCCATATCTATCTGATGAATCTAATTAAAGTGTTTCAGAATCCACCTGCCTGGCACCTTCTTTTATTTTCTAGCGTTGTGATGGTATTTTGCATACCTATGTATCATAGACCCCCACTCAGCTTATATTGAGCTAGGCTACCATTGCTGCAGTGTCTGAGCGACTCCCAATCTATCCCCATTGTCCAGATGGGGAACTGAGGCACAGAGAGCCTAGAGTCCAAATCCCCAAAGGTCTGTAGGTGTCTATGATCACTGAATTTAGTGAGAGTTGGGAGGCTAAATGACTCACCCAAAGTTGCACAAGGGATCCTATACTAGCGCCCTGCTCCTCTTCCCCTTTATAAAATGTAACAGAGTCTTCTTTGCGACATATGGTGGGGACTTGGTCTCAGAGTGGTGGATTCACATTTCCTCCTCCCCCACCACCCGCTTCTGCTGTGGAGTCGAGAGTGGCCTGCATGTCACAGTGCAACATCAGTGAAGCTCTAGGGCACCCTGGCTTTGCTGCAGTGTTCTTAGTAAAGAATAAAGCAGGCTCACCAGCCACTTGGCCTCAATCCTTTGGCCCAGCCAACTCAGAGCAGGCTGTGACATGGGACTAGGGATCAGTTGGGCTTTCATCAAGACTAATGGCAGCAGCTAAGTATTCCACCCAAGGTGTGGTCCCTGAAAAGTGTGGGAACCCTCCAGTGGCTACCTGGAATCAAATTATTACTACTGCATGGAAAAGCTGACTCCATGTATTTTACCAAACGAAGCCAGTAGGACTCCACACCCTTTAGGATACGTCATCTGGGACCGTATTATTCATGTT